TTAGGAAAACTTGGTAAGCTTTTAGGAAACATAACAAATTCATTGAACCCAAAAATCTAAATTTTTGATAAAGTATTTGTGCTAAACATTTGTACATGAGTTTATGGAGTCAGTCAAACATAGACTCTGACTAGTTTGAGTGCAAGGTGATTTTTATGTTAAGAATAAAAGCACTCTTTTTTAAAAACTTAACAGTTTTCACATTTTATTTGCAAAACCTCTATAATCTCATCGATGAATATCAAAAGTTTTTTTTGGTAAACCTTATACTTTATTTCTTATTTTCTCTATTCTAACACTAACTGCAGCAAAATCATCTATAGCAAAAGTTGAGACATGTCTAACTATGAAAGTAGGGAAACAAAAGACTATATCTCAAGTTACTGTAAGCATAGCGTCAAATTACATAATGCACAAGCAACTCGCACATATCTCAAGTTACTGTAAGCATAGCATCAAATTACATAATGCACAAGCAACTCGCCTGTATATCTCAAGTTACTGTAAGCATAGCATCAAATTACATAATGCACAAGCAACTCGCCTGTATACCTCTCGGAGAAATACTATTATTACTAAATCATCTATAGCAAAAGTTGAGACATGTCTAACTATGAAAGTAGGGAAACAAAAGAGTATATCTCAGATACTTACCTCTACACACAGTTAAGCTATCTTCCCCATACATCTGCTTTAGAGATTTGCAGGCCACTGATGTTTAAGTAACTCCCACCTAATCTCACAACATTTCTCATAAATTGTACTAGAGAAAAATGATATTATTATGAATAAAAACCCTCCACAAATAAAAGGACGACAAACCTCCTTGCACACTAACTCCACCTATGCATTTGTACATATAAATCTTCATTCTTTGATGAAAAAAACTAAGAAATGAGTACCAGAAGTGGAGAAAATTGGTGGAAATGTGTGTGAGAGGTAAGTATTATCAGAAAAAGAATTTCAGGTAAGGAAAATGTTAACTTCTGAGATGATACCACACAGTTAAGATAGAATCCTATGCTGAATAAAGGGCCCAGTGCAAAAATTTACCAAGATGAGTTCCTTCCAGACAAATACCCAAAGAGTGTGACACCCAATTGCAGGGGCTCCATAGTGGAACACCTGTGAGAGACTGCATCTCATCTCTTTCAGGGTATACTCTCTGACCAGGAAAAAAGCAGGAAGAGGCAAACGGGCTCCATGTGTCGCAGTGATGGGCGAAGTAAGAACATAGCCATCTGAATACTTGCACACAAGAGGTCAAAGAGCCAATATTTATAATGTGATTGGAGTTTGATCAGACCATACATTGTGCTTACCTCAACTCTACCATCAGAGTTTATTGGATCGACACCAACTGTGAGAGGAGGTCACAGTATTCAAGCCATAGTGTGTGTGGAATGGTGTATGTGCACACCTCGATTCGACTTGACAGACATCAGGTGCAGGAGGAGGGCACAGTTTGTTAGTGCATGCTTGCCTCAACTGAACAGATGATGTCCACAGGATAAGGGCATGAGTGTATAGTGCATATTCACCTTAATTCTACTGAAAAGACAAGACCACAGGAGGAAAACATAATATAGTGATGCATGTTTACTTTGACCCTACTGAACAGTTTCAGGCTGCACGAGGGCATATCTCATGTAATGTAATTGCCTCAACTCTATTGAACAGACTCTGGCTGTAGAAGGACACACAGTATTATAGTGCATTCTCACCTCATCTTAACTGTACAGACTCAGGCCATAGGAGGGCACAACTGGCATTTTAAAAATATAGCTACATGAGGAGTGACCTGCACTATAATAAAAGTGTCACTACTGCCTCACTTCCCACCAATTGGCACTGCTTGTTCTAGCCCCAGCAATTAGGTCTTAACATGTGAGAATTCCCCATGGTCCACCAATGTAGTGACAAAAAGAAAAGGTGGTAGGAATTCTCAATGGGGAGACTCAGACAAAATGCCTGGATCCCCATCATTCCTTCAGCCTGAAAAGTTTTTTTACTGGAGACAGTGTAACAGGTAACCACATAGCCCTATTTTGAGAAGCCAGCAAACTTGAGCCAGAGAATAGGGGAGAACAACCTTTGGTGCTGTCTTTTTTTCCATGATAGTCCATAGAATAAATATAGTTTTAACTGGACCGTAGTCAGATATATAAATAAACCACAAAGATACCTCAAGTGATCTTGCGGAACACCCCACTCTCGCAGTGGACATATATTGAGTCAGGGAAGATGGTATGAGTGCTTTCTGTTTTCCTGGCTCGATACAGAATTTTGGGAAATAAGTATACCCTGGAAGGTACCACCAGCCACCTCACATGATCCTATAAACAAAAAGTATAATAAGAAAAAGGAAAACTACTCACCTGCTAGAGATGGTGGGTAGACTGTAGAATGGGAAACAGAGACAGGCAGTAACCTTTAGGAGACAAGACAGTCAGATGAGGAAAACAGTAAGCAATAAAGGTGTGTGAAGTAGTCCACATGCCAGCTTCAAAGATCTTGTCCAGGAAATGAGTGAGATGACGAATCTGATGGGATGAAATGTAGGACAGTCTGCAAGTATTGACCCCCACTGAGAAGAAGACCAAACGTAGAAGTTGACAAACTCAACCTGCAAGGGTAGAAGGAGATATCCCCCTGGAAGAAGAGGAATCCCAGGGAATAAAGAATCAAAGACAAGAACGTCAAAGTGAGAGTTACGAGCTAAGTAGCAAGGAACATCATGAAAAAGAAATATTGTCTGTCTGGATCCAATCAATCATAAAAATAGAAGGAACAGAGATATGAGAGAAGGAGCAGTCACGTTCCTTGGAGGCTGAAATCTTAGGGAGGAAGGACTGGTCAGGATAAAGAAGAATATAAGAGTGATGGAAAATGGTACAGGAAGAGTCAATAGCATAGATATCTGAATGGCAGCAACCACAGGCAAGAAGTAAGAGGAAACAGGTCTTAAGAGAAAGTTTGTATAAATTGGAGGTTGTCAACAGCTCAAAATAGTCATGGGTAAGAGCATGCAGGATGACATTGAGTTCTCAGTCAGACATGGGAACAGGGTGAGGAAGTCTATTGAGAAGGAAAGGCTGGAACAAAGTGGAGGGAAAAACAACTTATAGTATCAAAAAAGACAAATATTTTAGACAAGGACACCTGATTATTGGCAATGGTAGGGAAAGCTAATCCACTGTCCAACAGCCAGGTCAAAAAAGATGAAAGATGGACAACTGTAGGACAGTTAGGAGAAAGGTGGCAACAGATGGACCAATGTCGAAAGACACACCAATCAGACTGATAGAAGTCCAGTTCTAATGCTGATAGACTGCACAAATCCCAAAAATGAAGGTGGAGGAACAAGATCCCATGATGGAACAGTGATGTGTGAAGTTGAAGTTAGAGAAAGGGTATGAGTGGTAAGGGAAGAGGGAGATGGGTGGATATGTGGTGAAGAAAAGAAAACCAAGTTTGATGTGGCCAAAAAGATGACACCAAAAGGACTAGACAAAGAGAGTCACTAATCAAAGCCAGGACCTGAGGAGATATTGAGTGCGACTGAGAAAGGATTTGGAAGTATTGACAAGCCAACCCAAATGGGCAGCTTTCCTCAAAAGAATGGAGGTATGAAGGGAAGACTCTTCTTGTGAGTAGGACAGTAGAAGCCAATCATCTATGTAGTAATGGACTCACAATCCCAATCACGGTAGATGGTGAGCAAAGCCCTTGATCATGTGGTTGAAGAACATAGGGGGCCAACACAATATCTAACAGAAGAGCCCAAATATGACACAGGGGAAAGAGACAGAATTGAACATGCCTGTGATTCTTGGTCCCGATAAAGAGAGTGTTATCCTCAACAGGAAGTGAAGTTCCCAATGCATAACCAGGTTGACAAAACAAACAATTAACTTTGTCCTCCTCTTCATTCTCCCCTTCAAACAAGGGGAAGGAATGACTGAAGAATGGACAGGAGTTGAAGGTCCTGGGTGCATAATGGAACCCACTATCCTATTCATAATGTCTGTCATGTCATCCATATTAAACATGTCTGAAGTATCCACGCTTGACTTGTGTGAGGAAATTCTTCACTCACACAAGAAGTGGAAGATGTTAAATGAACTTGTGAGTTCATAGTTTGAAGGAAGGAAAAGAAATTAAGTTCCTTAAACTAAACAAGTCTCAGTAAATTGGAAAAAACAAAACATGTCTGATACATCCAGGGCTGAGGAAAAGAATGAAGATTCACAATTGCAAATGGAAATAGAAGTTAGTGTACAAGGAAGCATGTCACCCTTCTATTGGTGGAGGGCTTTTGCTGCATAATAATGTCATTATGCAATAGTGTAATTCACAAGAAATCTCATGAGATAAGATGGGACTGCCTAAAGGCTAGTGGCATACAGATGTACGGGGAAGATAGCTTAACTGTGTGAAGAGATGGGGTGCGGTCTTGGAATTCTGGTGTGTTAATATCTATTGTATAAATTAAGAAATTAAAACTTATATAGCAATAAAGTTTGAATTATAAAACTATGTTTTAATTCCAAGTTTATTAACATACATGATATTAAAGTAGTTTCATTAAATATTGAATGCAACTTTGTAAAAGGTCAGACATGCACACTATGACCCACACTCATGCAGTTGAGTTACAACAATATAATATTGAGTTTTCTTTATCAAAGGCAAAAGTAATGATGATTACTAAAACATTTAAACTTTTTGTCATGTGACAAAACTTACTGATCTATGACACACATAATCCTTGAATCATTTTGTACACCCAAATATTTGCCCCCCCAAAAACAAAACTTTCAAATGTCCCAATTTTGTCTAATTTTTAGTACTTAGTACAGATATGCATCTTTATAATGCTGCAGTGGAATTATTCTCTTACAATTTTTCCTATTCAAACCATATATTCACAAGTCTAGAACATTAGTAATGTATTAAAAGTGTATTTAAATAATTTAAATACATTTATGCTAACTCACCTTTTTATTTCATCTTCTGTATCTACTTCTGTATCTACAGACTCCACATCAGATCCTTTATCGTATTTATCCACCAAATCTACAAAACAAATTCAGTACATTTTCTTTACTTTGCCAAAGGAAAACCATTGCAACATCTAAACAAATTACACTAGTAGTTTGGCTGAAAAAGTAAACCACCTTTTTGAGTCAAGTTTTGAAAAATCAGTGTTCATTGTTTTAATCATAGGGCATTTCAAGAAAGTGAAGCTTTCTGATTAACATGGTATGAAGCATGAGTGGTTGTACTAAGATATTAAATAAACATTACTGTTAATTCTCTATAGAAAAAAAATGAGCAAAAATCTGGTAGGGTCGCTCTTCACTAATTAATCAAAATTGGTCAATTTACTGTACAATACATAACCACTGTATAAAACAGCTAAAAAGAAAAAGCTCCACTTGCACTTATGGGGATAAAAAATTTTTGTGTATGAAAACAGAAGTTGTTAGCAGTGAAAATATATTTTTATTTCTGATACTATTCCATTAAGATATTCCACAGCACCTAGCTATAATATGAAAAATCTAAATTACGATACATACAAAAAGCACTGTCCCATTAAACATAGTCGTATGTATGACTTTGATTGAGCCCATAAGTCCTGGCTACAGAAGGTCGAAACAACTTTACATTCAGAACTTTTAATGCTACACAGCTGTGCAACTCAAAAGTGTAACATCTTAGGACATGGGCACTGACCAAAGCAGCTACCACTGTGGGCCTCCCATAGATGTTGTAATGAATATAGCAGAGCACAGGAGTTAAAGAGGTTAGTTAAGTGTCACAAACGTTATTTTCAGTAGGAACTGGCTGTACTACAAGCATGGGTTCAGGGCAAAATCTAGATTCAAGTTGCTTCTGTTTGTCCAGAAGGGTGCCCAAATTAATCTTGTTTGTTATTTTACCTACCCTAAAGTAAGGTCAGCATTTGCAACTAACAGCATTGTTACTGATTATTCATCAGTTTAGGTTAGTAAAACCTGCCAAGTACAAATTTATTACCAATGTTTATGCTTCAAATCAATGCTTTGATCTTATGCTTTCATTAGCCTCTAACCCTTCCTCACAACCATTACTCACAGAACCTTTCAAACATCAATTTGTAGAAACACAGATCCTTGCATTTGTTCTGCAAACGGTATGAATTTACTTATTTTAGCCACTGGTTTATAATTTTCCACTTCTGGAAATTATTTTGTTACTCTTATTTATAATTTCTTAATCTTACTTCTTGTTTAAAATGTGTTATTTTTCAGTTAAATAGTTGGAGGTGGATTTTAAGTTGCAAAGAAATTTATATATTATAACTCACAAAAAATTGAATGTTACTTTTTGAGAATAAATGTTAACTGTTTATCAACAGTAAAATATGACTAACAAAAATTAAAATTACTTAGAAGTTTGTATACAAATATCTACAGGACTAAATCTATATTTTTAAATAACAAAAATACTCCTAAAAATGCAAAACTAGACAAATACAAAATTAACCTAAAATGGAAGAACCAAAAGGGGTAAAAACTGTAAAGGTTTGTGTAGATATGTAGTATGAATATTAAAGTGTACAAAGTTACAACTATTATGAATGTATGTTGACACAATCCTACCAAAATATAATATGTATATTAATCTAGTATTCATGCATGCTTATATTTCTTGAAATTGGTCAGGGCATGGTCTAGTGTTTAACATGCCAAACTTTGAATTTGAGGATCCAAGAGTTAACAGGAAGTGTTGTTTACTAGCTGCCTTCATTCTTATTTATCATTTCAAAATTAGGGATAAATAGTGCAAGTGATTCTTGTGTAGTTTTTCCTATCTGAAAAAAATAAACAATCCTAAAATAAAGTAGACAATATTTTATCTAAATTTACCTTCTAAAAATCTAGAAACTGAACTTTAAACAGATACATTTATAATTACACTAGAAATAAATTCTCCTTTTCATTAAGGTTTCATAATCAGAGAACTTAATAAAGAAAAAGGGAGGCAATAATTGAGCATGTTGGATTACACTTTGTTGCAGTTATACAAGTGATAGATTTAGGCATTGTATTTCTAAACTCATTTTAGACTAAACATATACATGGTTGTATTTCAAACAATATCATGATGTATGTTTTTGTATTTTTAAAAATAACAGGAATGCAAGCTAAGAAAAGTTAAAAGTTGTTCATTGTTTCAGAGTAACTTTAAGCAAATTAGACATAGTGGGTTTGAAAACTTTAATGGACTGCAACTGCCTGTTGAATGAAAAGATGACAAAGGTTGAAGAAGGTCTCAGTATAGAAGCCAAAATGTAATTTCCTTTTTTTTCAACAGGCAGTTGCAATCCATTAAAGTTTTCAAAGTTCTTCATTGTATCAGTTTTTTCAAGCAATTAAGCTGGCTATAGCAGCCCAAACTATGCCTATCAATATACAGCTCAATATGCTAAAATGGTTTTATATATAATCATTTTTCATATTTTATACAAGTTCTCTACTGTATGAATTGTTTTTTTCCATCGATTGAAGTTTTTGCAGTTTCGTCTTGTATCAACAGTCCCGTAATCTTCTCTGTATATATGTAATAATATGTAAATAATAACAATTAGCACATTATAAAATATGGATGTTCTTTCAAATATATATATCCTATTAAAAGTACAACTAAGTTCACAAATGACATACAACCAAGTTGGAAAACAGAACTAAACAGTCAATAATGTGACTGATTTAACACTTCCTCCTCCCTGAAGCACATTTTTTGAGTATACTTTAAATTTTTTTAAGTGATGCATAATGTGCTTTAAGTATGCATGAATACGAAGGTGAATTCATTTATATCGGAGTATTGCATGGTGTCAGTGTAAAGTTCAACATAGATCTTTTACACCAAACAGTTTCAGGCCGTTTGTCTTAAAGTAGAAACATCTTGTATGAAACTTAGGAACTTTCTCTTGTATCACACCATCTAATGATAAATTATTGAGAGACTGGAAACAGTTTCATACACTCTACTTGTTTCCACGTCTTACTGCATCACCATCAGAAGAGCAATATTTTGCCTGAGTTAAGACCTGTATAATAATTTAAAAAATCACATGGAGAAATTCAGCTTAAAGAATTTCCCACCATCTACTAACAACATTTCCCAGTGGTTCATCGTCCTTATTTAGTAACCTTAAAATTTATTTTGTTACATTTGATTATCTCAATAGATTCCTGGGTATTATTACCGTTGATATTTGCAGATTGTCTAAAATAAAAGTTTTTAGCTGCAGCATAGCTGCTCATAGAATGGCTGTTTTTTGTTTTTTTTCTAGTACAAACTTTTAGCTCATAACTCCATCACCTTCCGACAGATTTGAGATCTAGTTACTGTTCTGGACTCAGTAGGTCAAACCCTTTCGAATGATGTATTTGACCATGCCCAAGATCTCATAGATTAACTTACTCTAATCCTGCCTAAAAGAATTTCAAGTGCTGTGGCTATTGAGAATTCCCTCTTGTTTCCCATTGAATCAAGTGTTTAGTTTCATTAGCATGTACAACTAAAGGCAAGATCTTTGTATTATTTTTTGTAACATATCCTTTGTGTTCTTTATTCTGTATTTTAAATTTCTTCTAGTTTGTCTTATAAATTTATTTCCAAATTTGCATGTTATTTTCTATATACCAGTTCTTTCATAAATCAATTTTATCTTTAGTTATATTAAGAATCTAGTTAATCTTCATCATATAACAGAAAGATATTTTGTTGTTTTTTAAAGATAAACCAATGAATAAACTTCATACAATGGTAAAAGAAAATATTAAAAATTCTATAACTTTAACACCTAAAGAAAAGCAAAGTTTAATTCCAAGTAACTTTATATTATCTAGATTATATGCTTTAACTAAAGTTAATAAGTTTTAAACACATTGTGTCTAATATTAAGAGTTCCATGTACTATGTAGTAAAATTCACCTCAAAAAAGTTCTCATTTTTAAGTTATAAAAATAAATACACAGTTAAGAATTCATTGGAATTTGTTGAAAGAATTAAACATCTAACACAAGATCAGAATAATATTTTAGTGTTCTTTCAAGGTTATTTCATTGTTCACTACAGTACCTGTGGAAAAGCCACTGCATGTTTGCAGAATAAATTAAAAGAAAATGAGAATTCAGTTTTAGGAATAATTGATATGACTAACCTTGTTGAAGCATATGTTAATAATTAATTTTTTTCAAATAAAGAGTAAAGATTATAAATAAAATGAAGGATTAGCTATGGGTTCTCCTTTATCCCCATTATTATGTGATTTATTCATGGACATTGTGGAAACTGATTCATTAATAAAAGCAAAAAGGAAACCTAAAATTTAGTTAAGATATGTTGATGACACCTGTTTGATATGGCAACACAGTAAAGAGAATTTAATTGGTTTTTGCTAATTATCTTAATAACACTGACAGTTGTATTAAAAGGAACTAAGAAATTGAGGAAAGTTATAATTTTCCTACACTGAAAATATATTTCTAATGGATACTTACCTCTGTTCACAAAATAGCTTTTTTTGTTCAGTGCTGTCCTCTATATGCAAAAATGTTTTGCTCTCCACTAGCCTTAATACTCCCATATACCCCACATGTTTAATATGGTACAGCTGTCTTGTAGCATGCAAATAAGCATGGGACAACACTCCACCAATAGGAGTGTAACACACCCTCTTGATGCAGTTGCTCCCTCTCTACTGTAGAACCAAACCTTCACTTTGAAATTAGGCAAATAGAAGCACCAGAAGTGGGGAGGAAGGGTGGGAAGTGTGAGGGAGGTAAGTATAAGTATCTGTTGGATATATATTTTCAGCATAGAGAAATTATAACTTCCAATCTGATACCTTACCTCTGTTCACATAATAGGTAGAATCCCACACTTTTGGAAACCATCCAAAGAATGCTCATGGGGTGTGACATCTCTGTGTAGAGGAACACACCTGTATGAGACTGCACCACATCTGAACCGGGTATACTCTTTGCCCATTTTAAAAATATGCCATTAAATCAGGAAGAAAAAACAGCACATCCAATACACAAGTGGAGATATCAAATGGTGTAGAGTGGCTAGGGCATGTCAGACCATAATCAGTGGGTCAACCCCAGTCCAAAACTATGCAGCAACAGGTATTTATCTCAGTAGGAGGAGAGTCCCTACCACCTTCACCTCAAGATGAGGAAACAGAAGGGAAAAAAATGTTCTATTCCATCATCCTAGTCTGGGCACATGTGCAGATCCACAACAACAACCAGCCAACTGGGAACCGATATCCGAGCAACAGTAGGAAGAGAAGTGCAATGTGGTGATTCAATCAAATTTTAAAACTAGACGGACATTTTCTGGTGGCTGGTCCAGTTCCTTTCCTAAACCAGACCTCCCAGGATCCAATGGCCAGGAGATGGTAGGATGGGGGTTCCCAGCGACCCAAATATCTCTTGGCTGGTCCAGTTCCTTTCCAAAACCAGGTCTCCCAAGAACCAATGTGCAAGAGATGGTAGGATGGGGGTTCCCCAGCTGATATGTATATCTATTGGCTGGTCCAGCTCCTTTTCAACACCAAATCTCTTGGGAACTGACATGCAGGAGATGGTAAAATGGAGTTCCTCAGCCAAATAATCTATCCAATCAAACTATAGGATGAGGTCTCCCTACCACCACATGTGTGAGGACTTATGTTGGCTGATCCAGCCCCTTTCCAACACCAGAACTCCTGGGAACCGACTTCCAGGAGATGGTAGGATAGGGGCTTTCCAGCCAGAAGGGTGGACTGCATTTTGGTAGGTAATCATTAGCCACCTTAATACTATCAGTTGGAAAAAGCTTAATTAAACAAAAAATTAAAAAGCACCATTAGCTGCCCATTTTTCAGCCAAATTATCAGCATGTAAAGTCATCAAACAATAATTGGAGTTTAATCATTTTATACCAAGCACTTAAAAATTACTTTTACTTCATTGTGTGCAAGGTATATTTTTAAATATTGTGTAAAATATATTAATGTGGTTAATAAATCTTATTCTGACAAGATCACATAAATATTACCCATCAACTTGTTCAAAATATAATAAATAAATAATAATACATACAATACCTTCTGTATAAGTTATGCTGAAAAACAAAAGCTTACTTTTTTGTACAATAGTGTTTTTGTCTTCCTCACTTCCAGAATCTTCTTCTGTTGTGTTCTCTTTAGAATAATTTCCCAACTTGTAACTGTAAAAACATGAAATATTTATTGTATAATACTTCAACATCTATTTTACATTTTTTTGTAGTGTCTACTAAATCTGCCAGACACAGTAAAACACTTTTACATAAAAAAAACACAGAACTGTTTTACTGAGTAGGCAAATTTTTCTAAAGCTTGTAACAAGAGCCATACAAATTCCAGCCTCCAATGTTTGTTGAGTAACTTTGTAGCAAATATACATACACACTTTTCAGAGCATATTGTATTATTAAAAGATGTATTACTGAGAAGACACACTAACTGATATTTTGTTTTTGATAGATGTATTTATAAATCAGAGATTAAGTAATTTCAGAAAGTTATATGCACTGAAACTAATAATATGTAAGCTTGAACAGTTGGTCGTGTTCAGAAAGAACTTTCCCTTAGTAAACTATAAATACAGCTTAAGCCTTTCTTTCTAAAAAAAATGTAGAAACTAGGCTGAAAAATGTCCAGAAAGCTAAAGATGCTTAGAAGAATATTTGTCAAAGCAGCCCATGAGTCAATATTTATGAAAGATTATTAAGTAATGGACCATATCTATTATATTAATTATATTTTTCTTTACCTTTTATATCTTGAATATCACACTTAATCCATTTACTAGACAAATTATGTTGTTTGAAATCATACAATGAACCATAGTGTGGGATGAGTACTTAGTGCCAATTCTGAGTGATGTCAGTTAGGAAGATATTCCTACTAATGTACTTAAGATGTCAAATAGACATTAAAAAGTAATGTCTAATATCTCATGAAATTTTCAAGAATATATCCTAAGATTATTAAGAGTCTCTGAAAATACACAACATACTACAAATGAATTACATTAAAACAAAGTGATTTCAAATATACATAACGAAGAATCAGAATTTTAGAACATTAACTCACAGGTAAAACAATATGAGCCACACTATTAAAATATTATCAGGCTTTCAAAAATTTCTGTAAAAGTATCTTTTAAAACATAAATTTCTTAAGAAAACACAATATTTTAAATACACACTTATTAGAAACATTGAAATAAAAAAAAGTATAAAAATGACAATTACTCTCTCCAAGGTAAAAGTTTGGATTTCTTGTGACAGTCGAGGATCCAGTGTTTGGTAACTATTCTACCACCTTTTGAGAGTACCTGGGTATATTTTGGAGTATTAACAAAGGCACAACTATAAGGAAATTTGGAAAAACAAAATATTATTTTACCAGTAAAAAAATTAAGCTCTTATAATTATTTTAATAAAAGAACTATACATTTTCTAAACTACTTAAAATTCTAAATACACATTCTAAAATAATATAATCTGTCTTGCAATATATTTTTTTGTGGCTTTATATTGCATTAAATAGTACTTAAGGCTTGGACATCTTACTTACTAAACAATAGCTTACAGACACAGAAATTACTTGTAATGATTTTTAAAAGAAATTGTTGATCAATAACTGAGAAAAATATATGTATATATCATTACATTAAGTTAAGAAAGCACTAACTCAATATAAGTGTTCAATAAAGGAATCAAATACTGAGTTTGGAATGTTCATAGGTTATTTAGTTTCACATACCCCACTGGAAGCAAATATCTACAAAGGGTGTAAAGATAAGAGCAAAAGCATAATGAAATATAACAAGAACTTGCACATTTTATTAGTATTACTATTTTCTAGTACTTGTGAAATGGTCAATGACCCTGCAAATAGAAGTGTAATTACAAAGGAGAATCTTAAAATATTTCTCATGATGCCTCGATAAACAATACATTCATCAGCAGAGCTTGGAAGTTAGTAGCCTTTTCTAATCAATTAATCATCAGGCTCATTAACTGATTACCTTCAACTAATGAATTAGTCTTACATGAGGCTAATCTTCCTATTTTCATTTTTCTTTGAAGACATTGTTGAAATACCCTTTATTTCATATAAAATACTTTTTCAGGAATAATCTAAAATTATGTTACCTTTCATAATCCTAAACTGATGCACATGGAAATGTATCATACAAAAAACAAAGTATAGAACCTGTAACAAGCTGAAAATAAGATTAATACTGTTCCATGGATTTCTCCCTACATATAAACTAGTTCGCTGTTAAAAATAATTCTTAAATTTCATGTGATAAAACTAGTAAAGATTCTTGTCACAGTGCTTGATAAATAATATATAATTCAGTGAAAACAAATTTCTGATGATCCAAGAAAAACAAATACAATATTCATTATTTGTCAATAACACTTGTGATCATATTAGGTGACCTATTTACAGAGCTTGAAATGATTCATCCCTATGGAAGTCAAAGTAGCATAAGTAATATTAAAATCACAGTAATATGAAAACATCTTTAGTACAGATGTTTTGGAATTTTTTTCTAATTCCATCATCAATGTGAAAAACATAAAAAATAAATACTTTTTTAAGTATAAAACAAGAGAAAATCCTCAATAGCAATGACACTTGAAATCTTTTAGGCAGGATTAGAGTAAATTAATCTATGAGACCTTGGACATGGTAAACTACATCAATCAAAAGGGTATGCCTTCCTGAGCCTAAAACCATAATTAGATCTCAAATTGGTCAAGAGATGACGGAGCTATGGTCTAAAAGTTTGTATTTGAAAAAATCTAGGAGCCATTCTATTAGCCACTATGATGCAGTTAAAAACATCATAAGCTTTTAAGAGAAAAGTTGATAGAGATGAAAGTTTAATTTGTTTGTTTTGTTGAATTTCACACAAACCTAATTGAGAGCTATTTGCACTACACATCACTAATTATGAAGTAACAGGCTAAAAGGAAGGCAGTTAATAATCACCACACTGCCAACTCTTTCCTAGCAAACAGTAAGATTGACTATCACATTATAATGCCCCCATGGCTAAAAGGGGCAAGCATATATTCGGGTATCCTAATTATCAGGCCATGCCAGGCATGGAAGTTTAGAAGGAACACGTTAAAATAATTAATATTTTTACATTTTGCAGTACAGGCTAGAAGAAACTCTTGAAATACATTTGCATGCTAAGAAGTCAATAAATCAAATAATTTAAAATTTAGATTAATATGAATTATTTAAGCAGCATGTGAAAACAGCCACTTTTGTTTTTTCTTTTTCATTGCTTCCTATCTAGCTAGAGCTCGTCATAGTTAAACAATAGTCCTGTTCATGTAAACAGGTTTAAGACTTAACTGTTTAGGATATTGCACATTAATGTTATTTATCCAAGTCTACTCATTTCTAGAAAACACAGTTAATAAGCAAGTTATTCAGCAATCAACATTTTTTTGAGCTAATAAAGAATAATGATCATTAACTTGCCATAATTTTTTTCTACTAAAGCAAGCTTACCCTAATTGACATTGGTTATGTTTGTAATTTGTAATAAGGCAGCAATATATTTATTACATTAAAACTACACTACTATTTAGACATACAGGGTAAATAAGAACAACAGATATCACCATGGCTAGTCGTGTAATCAACAGCCACTATACCCTATAATATATATATAAATAATGTGAGGGTATAGTATATTTCAGATTGTTGTTGTAGGGCTTAGGATTCTTATAAAGTAGGTGTCTGTGACTTGTTAGCGATAAGTTCAATGATGAATA